AATAGTACGATTTGTGAATACTATTGCCTGGGACAAAAGAACCCGAGTACTGGCAGTCATGGATTGTTCTTCGAAGATTAATGTCCACTGTAGTTCTCGCCGGAAAAAGGTACCTACATTTGCTTTTTCTTTGCGCCCGTTCAATCCCGCTTCGGGTGAGACGCTGTTTCTTCTAACCTACAGAGTACAACCTCCCAGAGCAAGAGAGGAGCGTTCTCGGCACTTGCCATGTTGATCAGAAGGGCTTTTATAAATATGATTTTCGAGGAAGATCACGGTTTCTATAATCCCTGCCAAAGAGATGGTCAGGACATATGGAGTACACCATATCCCATAAATTTCGGAGATGGAGGCGAAGCATGAGCAGCAGAGCAGGTAGGCCAGCACCCAGTCCATCATGGATTCTCCCCAGGTAGGTTAGGTTGTTCCAACAGAAGAAAGATAAGACATCGTCCACCAATCAGAAGAGTGGCTTTTCAACCTTGGCCAGACAGATTAGGTTTCCACTACGTCAAGATCCAAACCCGGTGGGGCACATGGGCCTTAGCTTCTGACTGTCGATGATTCTTAAAAAATAAAAGCAGAAGAAGACGACGCTAGCGCATGAGTTTGGTTCAATTGATTTCCCACCCGAGCCGAAATACAATACGCCGTTTGGTATGGAGTGGTATCCATGCCTGTGGTCCATTCAGGATGGACATATTCATAAACGCCCTTGCCCGTTCTTCAACATTGATTGGATGACGGAATTTTGCCTCGGAACGATCATCTGGATGTGATTGACCCCGATCTGGAGTAACATTCTTTCCCTACCTAGGTACTTTACATCCATAGATTGGCAAGTCCATCCATCAGCCTCGAAAGTCGTATGAATACTAGTCATTGGCGAATAGTGTCTGCTTGGTGGCACGTCTAATCGTCACTGATTCTGATTGATTTCTTCGGCCTGACAAGAAGGCGGCATCTATTGCGCATACTCTATGCAAAAGCAAGGTGACGAGATTTGACGATTCTATGGCACGTTTTTCCATATCAATCGCTCTGATACTGGAGATCATATACGAAGAAGGTAATTGGTGATGGTAACTCGGACTGCAGTAGACCAATTCGGTACGGTTCATTCGTCCGCGTAAAATTAATTATATGCACCATGCAAAGGGGCAATAAATGTTTTCACGGGCTTCAGTTCTTCCCTAAGGAGATCCTGGCTTTGAGGTGCTTGCAGTCATTAATGATTATTAGATTTAGCAGCATGAATGGCCGCATGGCGTGGTAAGCTGGTAACCAACTAGGTGCCGCTAATGTGGGGCAGTACAAGGATATAGTTGCTTGTCCTCTAGTTGAGGATGGTTAATTATTATCTACCTTAGGTGTCTATACGCGACCTTACCGCTCATCAGGCAGGAAGAGGGCATGCTCATGGGTCTTGGTTGAGCGTTCATTGACGCAGCAAGGATCTCATCTGCAGGTTTATAATTGGTAAGTTTATGGAGTGAAGAGTAAAACATCCCATCGGGCGAGAGAAGAGAAAGGAGAGAGAAAAAAAAAATTTAGTACAAAGTTGCACCCGAAGGATTTTGGTGAAAAGCCACCGGCCGACAACAGCGTGCACTGAGCGATAGATGGCCTCGAAATCCAGCCTTACCTCAGGAAGTGTCGACTCCAAGCGCTGGCAATGGCATTAATTTTATCGCTGAATGCTGACTGACCAGTGGCTGGCTAATGGCCACATGTGCCGTCAATCCGTCACACTAAGTTGCATTACAGCCAGCATGGAGTACCCCACGCTGAACATCAGCACAAAATGATCATATTTGACGGAGCAGATTTCCTCTGTTAGTCTGTTAGGAGGAAATAGTCTGGTTTTCAAATGGCAAAGTGGTACAGAGTAAACAATTCCATGATGCTGAGGTACCATCCATAAGTTGAGTGTACAAGCTCATACCCGACATTACTGCTATGTATTATTACAATAGGTTTCATGATCCAAGTTGCTGAACAAAGCCGGGTAAATTACTGGCACGGAGCAGTTACCGTTGGTCCGTTGCCCTCCATCATTACCTTAGAATTAGAGCCTTGGAGTCGAATGTCCGCCCAGAATAAAGCCTGGAAACCACAACTTCCGACAACGGCCAAGCTAGCGCCTTACCTCTTCCCCCCTGCTTCCTCTCCCTCCCCTTCCTCCGTCCTTTGCTTACCCCTCTCTCAGTCTCTCCCTCTCTGATGTTGACTAGGCATCGCTCACTGTTACTGGTCCTTAGGGAAGAACCCCCGATTTCGGGGCCTCCGAGCAGAAACCAAAATGCTTGCAGATTGGCTTGTTGGAATTTTACCATCTCATTCATTGAGGTCATCAAATGATCCAGCAGCTTATCGCGCTTCAATGTAATTAATAATCTACTCCATACATAGATTCAGCTCCGACCCCATATTTTCTCGTACAAACGTACCAGAGGTCTCTTAAAATGAATCATAACATTGTTTTGTTCATATTCCAACCAGGCCAGACCTTAGTCCATAATCATAATCCATTACGGAGTATTCCTGGTTCATGGCTATGTGGGATTGTGGACTACGAACTCCAGAATCCTGAGATGCACACCCGGGGAAAACCCACTTTTTCCCCCCCTCCTTCCCTCCTCCCCTTGACGTTGAATGACCCCGTCCAATAGGCGTGATGGAATTAGCCAGCACCCCGGAATACGAGCGGCACGCAACTGGTGGATGATGCACTGATCCATGGCTTATGCATGCATCGCAATCCCTGCTAATTTTCCATATGATTGAGTTTCGGATTTACCAGTGTGGGCTTGTCAATCCCGACTCACACGCGCGATAAGAGCTTAATTGAGGAAATGTGATCATAATAATAATACATAAATCAATCGATTTCCAATCTCTCTGATTGTCTGTAAGTCCATCTACTCCGTACCTAGGCTACGGTGGGTGCCAGTCCACCCAACACGTTCAAGATATGGGTCTTCTCGCCCCTCGGTTACCGATATTCATCAAGGAGACAGGATGGTTGACCCTCTCGAGTCTTCGATCATAGCGAACACAAGCAACAGTGAAGAGCTATGATTTACTCGATAATGGGTTGTAATCGACTCTGATCTGTCGATCATCACACCCATGCTGTCGCCTTTACTCTGCGACAGACAAATAGATTCCAGGACCGTTCGGCCGATTGATGGACTTCTTTCAGGATACTTTTCCCCTTTCAGATTGAGGCCGTTTGAATGTCCACCTACTGACGAACAATCTACAACGACGGGAAGGGTGAACGAATCATATCGCCTATTGTGATGACTCCCGAATGCAGACGAAGTCTACTCGGGTCTCAATAATGTGACTCACAACTGTTGACTTATTGGGGAATTCACCAAACAATGCAGCCTGGGAAAATTATTATTGGGCCTGGCAAAGAAGACAGGCCAACCAGCTGCAGCCTCATGATGCAGACTGCAGGACCCCTTCAGACCTGTGAGCTGTCCTCTATTTTTCCAGCTCTCCAATTGTTCCAGTTCTCTTGAGTCGGGTAAAATACGATACAGCAGATTACCACAGGCATCATGTGACCCAGCGGAGTGCCAATGTTCCCGTCTTCCGGAAAATCCCGAGGTTTCCTGACCAGTCTTGTCCGCTTTGGGTTCACCGGAAGTGGTGAGGTTGATGGAGCGGAAGACTGCAACTCTTCGGGAATTTACGGAAAGCCCTTTGCAACGCCCGAAATCGGCCCTCATGCTCCAGAGTCCAGGGAACTCGGAATAATGACTCCAAAGTCCCAAGTACGGCACTGAGAATAGATACTTACAGAGAGGGCGGTATGCATGGATGGCTGCACTATTTGATTACCAACAGTTTCGAATTGAAATGGGGGCCATCTTGAATCTCGCCCCTAGATCCTCTGATTCCCCAGTTCATAGCTCGCTGGTTTACAGCTATGATTCTTTTCAGCGCAGCAATGCAATATTACGACCAACTTGCCGCACCATTGCTCGTCTTTCTGTTCTCGGACAGCTACAACTGGATGATTCACTATCGGAGGAATCTGGCTTCGTGGCATGATCTCTTGCTCAAAGACAGCACAGATTGATATAATACCTGCCACTGTGGTCTGATGGTTCTTGTTTGCTGAAGCATTGCAATTGATCGTCTCCAGACACAATGCAGCGACACAATGCAGCAACACAATGCAATCTCAGTGTGGTGCCATGTCCACTAATTTACTCAATTATGAGCTGAGCAGCATACTCGAGAGTCCTGGAGATCGCCGATAGTTCGTTCAAGCTACTGACGTGATCTCACAGAGACCTGAATTGCTTCTTTCTTTATGACACGACCATCTTTTACAGAAGGCTATGACGAGTAGATAGTTCACTGCAATTCGACGTGCATACCTGACGGTTGCATAGTACCTATAGATTATAATAGTCGACTCGAGCATGTGATGATACTGAAGCCAGACTCTTCTCCAGCTTAACATAAAAACCTTTACTTCGTATATGATATCATCATCTGTGCTATGAAGCTTCTGAAGTTTTGCTCCTTCTAATATATGCTGAACGCCGTAGCCGGGATAGATGAACGAGGCCAATTGTATTCAAAGATGCAGTTTCTTCATTCTCTCTCCTCATCTTCGACTCTCAATGGTAGTTGTACTCAAGCACCTGATGGTTGGATTGTTTTGGCTTTGGAGATACTAAGAAAAGGTTCCCCGCGCGTTAGTGGAGCTTCATTGTTTTCTGTTTTTCGGTTTCTTCTCCGCACTTGCTTTTTATCATTTGAACACATCGTACGTACACTCTATATACAAGTCCAATTGACGGCAGCTGGCGTGTAAGCGACTGTTGGTCCGAGAGAACATTTACACAGAATTACGATATTCCTGCAGAAAGCGGAGGTCCCGTGTGTGCTGGACCTAACCATCCCTGGAGAACCAAGGTTTCCCACGACAGAAGCTTCACTCAAGGGGGAAAAAAAGCCACATATCACCAATAATGCTGTCTCTTCCTCTCATTACGCCCCGCGACGTATGCACATCCCAAATTGCACTGAACCCCCGCGTCCATTGAGAAGATACTAACATCGATCCGGACAGTCACATGAACTCTGGTTCGGCTCCTCTCAATTCCACCGCAGCTCATATCAACACCTCCAGTCGCCCGGGGACGAACCGCAGCACGGCCACCCACGTCGCAATGGACAGAATGGCCCGAATGGACGAGCAGCAGGGACCCCGGGCAACAGCCTGTCGTCATTGCAGCTCGAGGAGCGCGCCCTCCGCGCCCGCAAGAACAACATCGCTTCGTTCGGATACTCGTGGATCAAGCCGGCCGGATGCTCCAAGACCATGCTGGGTATGAAGGAGGAGGAGGCGGAACGGGAGGAGGCCCTTGCGGCCGCTGCGGCTGAGATGGCTGCTGCGGCTGCGGCTGCGGCTGATCCCGGCTTGGACGAGTTTGGGAATCCGATGCATGACCAGGCGGATGATACGGGCATGGAGCGGGATTTGGATGACGATATTCCCGATGCGGATGCGGACGCGGACGGGCTCGTGGAGGAAGGGGAGGAAGGACTGGAAGAGGACGAAGACGTGGATGAGGAGGGATACATGGAGCGGGATCTGGATGATGACATTCCTGAAGCGTTTGCCGACGACGACGACGATGATGATGAAGTCGAGGAGGATGTGGAGGGAAATGTCGACTTTGACAACCAAGCCGATCTGGACGACGAGATCCCTAGCGCAGCAGATGACTACGAGGGCGAAGACATGAGCGACGTAGTCGAGGATGGCGACGAAGAAGCATACGGGATGGAGCGTGATCTGGATGACGAGATTCCCGAGGCAGCCGAGGGTGGATCGGAACAGGAAGAAGAAGAATGGCAGCACACCGACACCGATGCCGAGTTTGACGACGAAGAGGACCAGAGCTTCTTGCATGACCGCTTTGCTGCACAGAACCTTCGAGCCAGCACAACCAGCAGTCGTGGCCTGCCCCCGCCGTCCGCCCGTCGCAGCCGGGAAACGCCAGCCCAGACACGATTTCTACAACGCTGGAGCGGCGGCGGCGACGCGTTCGACTCTAGTGGCATGATGTTCGACGAGGATGATCTCCGTGCGTCGTTGGCAAGCCAAGCAAGCCGCCAAAGTGGCTTTGGCGGATTTCCAAGACGGCCTAGTGGAAGGGATAGTCTTGGATGAGTCTAATCTTCGGATGACAGACGGCTGCGGTTGCCAGGGCCTAAGTATGCATATTTATTGTTTTATATTATCGGGTATTCGGCGTTGGCTATAAGGTCTGGGTTCATCAACAGGACGGAGTTGGTGACTGGGTGTTCATTGGATGTGCAACTTGATTCTACATGATACCTTGTGACTGCTGAGCAGAAGTTGAACAAAGCATACAATATCACTTATACATTTTGAGGAACTCTTGAGTGTCCACCGTTGCACTGGGGCTGCTTATGCCATAAAGACGAAGACTAGTGACGCTGGCTCACTCCTCTTGCCACGGCTGAGAGGACCATCCGGAGTCAATGAGATCTAGAAGCGAACGGAAGACATAACATCTCAATAACACTCTTCCAGTCGAGTTCTGCTCCTGTCCAATGAGATTATATATACACACATGCCTGCAAACAAGATATTACAGTATTCGAGTGAATAGCAGGAGCCACCCTTCAACTCCAAATATGCACTTTCAAGACCACATTAACTCATGCGCCAGGTGACATGACATTGCTGAAAAGAAAGAATAGCAGACTGGCAGAAAACAATAGCGTTAGTATGGCTTTGGCACAGTGTGCAACATACAACGCCGGAGAACGCCACAGAATGGACTATGCAGCAATGGAGTGGTAGACATCATAGGGAGTAAGTGATGTATGTCCACGAGTGTGAATTATTATGTAGGCGTAGGCCAAGGGGCTACATTATGTATTGCGCTGTGCTGTAGAGGCGAGTGAATCAAAACGTGGCTGGACTGAGATGTCGGGAATTATCGTTTGTAGGCAGTTCGTCCGATACAGGGGCCTAAGTCAGCCACACGTATGCGAAGATCAGGAAAACAGCCAGGAAGAAACCCAGCCACGCACGCCAGCCGACACCTGTACGCTCGGCCATTCGCAGCATGCGAGTCATATTACCACGGAGGCGGACGCGAGTGTTGTCGAATGCATCGTTGAGCTCTGAGATGGTAGATGTGTCACGAATTTCATCGCCAATGGCGAGTGTAAGCTGGCAGCAGTATCAGCATCATGTTTGTGAAGTTACTGTGGATAAACCGCAAGGAATGACAGACTCACATCCTTCAACATTTTGACTTTCGCACTGATACCCTCGACCTGGGCGTCATTTTGCGATTCGAGATGGTCGAGGACTGCGTCGGAATATTGGCCCCTTTACCCATGAGCATCAACCCGGCATTGAGCAGGTGTGTTTGCGGGTAAGACTCACTTTGCATTGGGAGTTGCCTTTCTGAAACCACCCGTGGAGCCCCCGTTCATGTGCCCGTCGGCATTCGAGCCAGAGTAGCCCCCATAACCATATCCGCCGACGCTGGCTGGTGAGCGGCTGGCGGGTCGGGAATCACCACCGTAGGAATCGAAGAGAGAAGAGGAGGCGCGGGGATCGCGCTGATGAAGCGAAGAACGTGAAAATCTGTTTGAAATCAAGTTAGTCACTGGGTATCCTGGGACGCCATAGTTATGTGTGAAAAGCGGTCGTACCGTGAAGCCATAACAGGTCGTCGTAAACTGGATGATGATGATGCAATTCAGGAGATACGGAGAATACCGATTGACGCAGGATTCTCACCGCCGGCTAATTTGTGCGCATGGTGATTAGTGTTGGAATATGAGAAGCTTTCAGAATTAGCTTGTATATTTCATCCAGAACTGTATCATTTGAAGGAAGCTTTGCGACCTGCTTGCGGCGAGACAACCGAAACAACAACACGGAGTTGCCACTTGGGTGTCTGTGACTCGCTCAACCGCCGCACGTGAGTGACGACGTACAAAAAGTTGATTGTTTTCTAAGGGCCTCAAATGAATTTGATAAAATAGAAAGAGAGATAGTTTGGATGTTGGAATTCTACGGCTGCTGCAAGTATTGATGCGAGGCTAGGGATGAAAAGAGGGCTGTAGAGATTAGCACCTGATCACATACTAGGTACAGGCTCTCTTGTCTTCGGTGTGAGAACGTTTACAATCTGGTTAGTATCAATTGATTTATTGATTTATTTCATTACAGTATGTGCGCATACTCGAAAGAAGAAAATGATCTCACTGGAATAGAAACAGAAAGCCCCCAATGAACCTACGCCAGCCCTGAATGTCCCATTCACAATTCCCATTCCCAGGATTTTTTGATGGCTCCGTAAGACCTTTTTTAATCAATCGCGCATATCGTTGTCATTAGGTTGGAATTCCTCATCGTCATCGTCCTCGTCGTCCATCTCATCCTCGGCCTTCAGCTTCTCGGCTGCCTCCTGGAAGTCGATGGTCTTGCCTCGTGTCCGACGACCTCCAGAAATGATGTTGTCTTCAGAGATGGGTTCGAGATTGTCGTGGTCATCATCGTCATCATCTGTAGAGGAATGGTTAGCATGATCTAGCTCTTTGAAATCATGCGAATGTTTCCTGAATTTCTCCAAGAAAGAAAAAGAAGAAAAGAGAAGAGAAGAAAATCTGAGTTTAGAGATGCCACATACCGTCCGCCATCTATGAGCAGATAAGTTAGCTTTTGACAGTCTGAGTAGTACATGACTTGGGGTGGAGCGAACTGACCATTTCCTCAGCTTCGCTTTCATCACTGTCCTCTTCCTCATCCATGCTCATTTCTTGAGTAGGCTCCTCAACAGCCTTACCCTTGCCCTTGTCCACGGCGGCCGCATCGGGGGCATTGGCAGCGGGATCGTTGCTGAGAGTAGCCTGGTGGTTTTCGCCCATTGTGATTTGTTTGGATGTGTGTGGAAGCGCAGATATTAGACAAGAAGTAGATGTAGGAAATGAGCAAGTTGGGACTGCGAGAACAATTGCAAGGAGACTTCCAAAAGGGTAGCTTGCAAGGGAAGTACACAAGGACCTTAAGTAGTGTACGAGGTGCAAGGACGGAATTATTGTCGTTAGAGGAATGATAACAACAAGAGCTGCGGAAAGGAAACCAAACACATCAGCCGCAAGGGAGATGCACCTAAGACCTGTCCCTCGAGTCTCTGGGCGCTGATTGGCTAATTGCCGGATTGATCAGCACTGCTCTCCCTTGTGATGCACTATACCTTTTTAGGATTGATTATTAATGGCCTGAGGCTCATCACATCCAGGGATCATAAACGCAGTACTTGGCATTACGTAGCACTGGTGTCAAACACTGGAGCAGACTTACAGGGAGTCTTACAAGGACTATTACATTTACAGAAAAAGCGATTTTGAGAAGATTCCATTGCTCATTAGTTAGGACTTTTCCCACCGAAGTAATTCTGCCATAGCAGACCATCATGCATGGAAACAAACTAGAATCTATGCAGTCATCGCAAAAGAAAAGGATCCCATAAATTCGTAAAACAAGACATGAAAGAAACCCATTATTGCCTGTCCAAATATCACAAGGCGAAGAGAAGAAAGGAAAGACACATCGATGAGCGAAATGTTTAGTCAAGCTCCTCAGGGCGCTCCTCGACCTCGTCAGCAGTGCGGGTAGCACCACCGGGGGCGGCACCGCCAGGTGCGGCACCAGCGGCACCACCGTAAGCAGCGGAGATGATGGGGTTCGCAACGCTGGAGTAAAAGTTAGTATACAGAAACCTAGAATGTAGAAGATGACACATACCTCTCGAGCTCTTTCTGCTGGGACTCGTACTCGTCCTTGGTGGCGGTCTGGTTGCTGTCGAGCCAGCTGATGATCTCATCGACCTTGCTGGAGACCTTCTCCTTATCGGCGTCGCTGATGTTGAGCTTGCCCTCGCTGATGGTGTTCTTGAGGGAATAGGCGTAGGACTCAAGACCGTTCTTAGCCTGGATACGGGAAGCCTCGGCCTCATCCTCCTCCTTGTACTTCTCGGCATCAGCCAGCATGCGCTCAATGTCCTCCTTGGAAAGACGGCCCTTGTCGTTGGTGATGGTGATCTTGTTGGTCTTGCCGGTACCCTTCTCAACGGCAGAGACGTTCATGATACCGTTGGCATCGACATCGAAGGTGACCTCAATCTGGGGAACACCACGGGGGGCAGGGGGAATGCCGGTAAGCTCGAACTTACCAAGGAGGTTGTTGTCCTTGGTACGAGCACGCTCACCCTCGTAGACCTGGATGAGCACACCGGGCTGGTTGTCGGAGTAGGTGGAGAAGGTCTCAGACTTCTTGGTGGGGATGGTGGTGTTGCGCTTGATCAGAGGAGTCATGACACCACCAGCGGTCTCGATACCGAGAGAGAGGGGAGCAACGTCGAGGAGCAGAATCTCGTTGGTGGACTTGGAAGAGGTGTCACCAGACAGGATAGCGGCCTGGACGGCAGCACCGTAGGCGACGGCCTCGTCGGGGTTGATGGACTTGTTGGCATCCTTGTTGAAGAAGTCGGCGACGAGACGCTGGATCTTGGGGATACGGGTGGAGCCACCGACAAGGACGATCTCGTGGACGGAGGACTTGTCGATCTTGGCGTCGCGCAGGACACGCTCAACAGGCTCCATGGTGGAGCGGAAGAGGTCCTGGCAGAGTTCCTCGAAACGGGCACGGGTGATGGAAGTGTAGAAGTCGATACCCTCGAAGAGAGAGTCGATCTCAATGGAGGTCTGAGCGGCAGAAGAGAGGGTACGCTTGGCGCGCTCACAAGCAGTGCGGAGACGGCGGAGAGCACGAGCGTTGGTGGTGAGATCCTTTTTATGAAAGTTAGCATGTAGTTCTCTTGAGGGACGATAGGGGAAGAGGATCTATATCACCCACTTTTTTATGTTTTCTTTTGAATTCGTTTACGAAGTGGTTGACCAGACGGTTGTCGAAGTCCTCACCACCAAGGTGAGTGTCACCAGCGGTAGCCTTGACCTCGAAGATACCCTCCTCAATGGTCAGGAGGGAAACATCGAAGGTACCACCACCGAGATCGAAGATCAGAACGTTACGCTCGCCCTCAGCCTTCTTGTCCAGACCATAGGCAATGGCGGCGGCAGTAGGCTCGTTGATGATACGGAGGACGTTCAGGCCGGCGATGAGACCAGCATCCTTGGTGGCCTGACGCTGAGAGTCGTTGAAGTAGGCAGGGACGGTTATGACAGCGTTGTTGACAGTGCCACCGAGGTAGGCCTCAGCGGTCTCACGCATCTTGGTCAGGACCATGGAGGAGATTTCCTCAGGAGTGAACTGCTTGGTCTCGCCCTTGAACTCAACCTCAATGATGGGCTTGCCGCCCTTCTCGACGACCTTGAAGGGCCAGTGCTTCATATCGGACTGAACCTCAGCATCCTGGAACCGACGACCGATCAGACGCTTGGCATCGAAGACGGTGTTGTGAGGGTTCATGGCGACTTGGTTCTTGGCGGCATCACCGATGAGACGCTCGGTGTCGGTAAAAGCCACGAACGAGGGAGTAGTGCGGTTACCCTGGTCGTTGGCAATAATTTCAATGCGGTCATCTCTGAAGACACCCACACAGGAGTAGGTGGTACCCAGGTCAATACCGACAGCGGGGGCCATTGTGAATGAGAAGTGAGGGGATCGTTAAGACAAAAAGAGGATGTAGGTAGTTCGTGAGAATAGAGTTAGGAGAGAGGTGATTAATGTACAGAGAGCTGAGTCTCTAAGGGGAGGAAAAGAGACAACAGGAAGATAGAGTGTAATTCTAGTGAGAAGATTGTGTGTGAGAGAAAATTGAGCATGAGAGAGGCAGGGAATTGTGCGAGAGAAAACATTGATATAGTGGAGGGCGGTGAGTTCAGCTCCAGCGAAGCTTCTAGCAGAAGGGAGCTTCGATGAGCATCCATAGGGTTCGACGGGCTTCTACCAGGGAAATTAGCTGGATCGGGGCCAATTCTACAGTCGTCGCGATGATTGGTGTCAATTCGAGAATCATCAGGTCATGTTCTGGGCCTTTCTGTTAGGTTACCGGCTATGGTTTTCTGGTCTCCAAGCATCTGGTGGTGAGGATACTAATTCCATGATGTCTTTTTGCTTCCTATTTTTTTCCTTTTTTGGGCTGTGGATGGCGGGGTCGCCAGATGACGTAACGACCTTCTGATTTTTTCTTTCTCTTGTCTCGCCAACATACTACTTTCACTAAGGTACCTATCTACAGAATGAGTATCTAGTTTTATCTATTTAGTGGACAGTGTTTTGATAATATTCAACATCATAATTGCTGTAACGAAATCAATTGATTCAGCAGATAGATAGATCTCCTCGTCATGATGACACTTCGTAGAAAGCCTAATGGAGCAGCAGTTCCGTGGCAGAGACTGTCAGTTCTCCGTGAGTCCCTCTGGTGGGGTATGGATACTTCTCCCCATTTCTTCCATCTACCAGTCTGACGTTCATCAATGCTGTGTCTGCATCATCGGTACCTTATTGTGCCACCAGAGTAGAGACGCCACTGCACTTGAGAGGGCTAGCTACCCCTGGAAGGAGTACCTGGAGATGGAAGCATATCACCTTCCCACTATCTACATAGTAGTCCATGACAGCTTCATGGTTCCAGTTTCTAGAGATCTATGATTGCCCTTGATAGATTTGGCTTTCCTGGACCACCTACATCCTTCTACGAGGCCTTTTTACCCGGACTAGAGAATTATTCTCAAGCGCTTGCCCCCTGGCTGTTGGATATTCCGATACGGAGTAGGGAGTATACTGATTTGATGCTTATTATCTTCAAGATCGATGTTCAGTTGCCATGGTACTCCGTAACTGAAGGACATTTCACAGTTTGCTCTTCTTCTTGCAGATACTACTCTCATAGACACAAGCTTTAATTAGATAGGCCCCTATGGAGAACACTAGTATTGAGAACCTTCTCCGAGTCGGGGTTGTTCAGCCAAGGGATCTTGTTCGAAATTGAAGTCCAACTAGAGAGGTACTCTTATGACCGTCTCTGATTATGATCATTGCCTATCAATTGTCTATAGAACCTTCCACAGCTGAAGTTGTACAGTTTGACCAGCAATGGAGTGACGATGGGCTCGTCAGAAGCATCGAGACACTTGCTGATATTTGCTGTCTTGTTTCGTTCTGATGATCAGATAGCATCAGAGATGCCTTTTTCAACTGTATTCTACCAGACCCTGGCCCTAACCCAACGCAGCTTCCCCATCTAGGAACCGAACCTCAACTGCAAGTCCATTCACTTCCTGATATATCCCCCATTCACTTCCCAATCCCCACTCTCTTCCCCCATTCACTTCCCGATCCCCTCTCTTCCCCTTACCTCCTCTTCTCTCTCTTCTATCCCATTCTCCTTCCACTTTCATCTCTCTACTACTACGTGTTGAACACGTATTGCACTACTATTTCTACTACGCTAGAAATGGTTGTCTAGACACCTTTTTAGTCGAGTGGTTTTATGGTTGACACTATGACCCTTCAAGCGGTTCCTCCTGGGCCTTCACCGGGATCCAAACCTTCGACATTCCGACGGCGGAAGAGAGCATCGAAGTCCTTGATGGCAGATGCTGCAAGACTCATCTACGACAGATACCTCAACCGCCCCAATCCGGACCAGAATCCTGATGATCTCATGGCGTATGTCTCTGGTCATATCGCCTCTCTGAAGTCGTCACAATAGTGATGCATGATATCCTGGACAACCATTATTTCCGGTACTCCTCGGCCGTTTCTCTCTTGGGACTCCAGTAGTGGCGTTGAAATTCCATTTGAAGTCTCCACCTGGGAGCGTTGCGAGCGGATCTCACCCATATTTTGCAATTCCGGGCGCCCTTGTACAAAGAAACATGTCAAGCAGCCATTGGACAATGGATATACTCTTGTTCATGCTGCGTTACTGGATATACTCTTGTGCACGCTGCCTTATTGGCCTATTGTGATATACCAGCAGCTCCCCATGATATACCAACATTTCGGTCTGTTGTGCTTATTCTGGAGACTGCATTCAGCTGTGTTTTCTGGGCCATGCGTTCCCGAGACAAGTCGTACGGCTTTCCAGACTGCCCTTGGCCTCGAACCTCATTCCAATGGAGGGGGCTATGCGAGCATAGCCCCCTCCTTGAAGCCATCCAGGATAGGGAGCAAAAGACACCTGAAGAACTACAGAAGATTGCAGAATACAACAAAGCAAAGAAGCGTTTATATGACAAGCAATCATAGCCCCTCCTGGAAGCAATCCAGGACAGAGAGGACAAGACACCCGAAGAACTGCAGAAGATTGCCGAGTACAATGAAGCAAAGAAGCGTGTCTATCATAAGCAGTATGGACAAGCCCTCAGACAAAATCCCTCTGATAAGTATCAGATTACGGAGTAGACAGCAACGGAACAACCTCAAACAAAAGGAGCCGACGCGCAAAAGACAGAAAGAAGCAGCAGTGGCCTCTCGATATAGTGATGCACGATATCCTGGACGACCATTATTTACGGTACTCCTCGGCCGTTTCCTTCTCAGGACTCCAGTAGTGACTGTTGAAATTCCATTTGAAGTCTCCACCTGGGAGCGTTGTGAGCGCGCTCAGGTTAACACTCCCATTTTTGTTGATGATCTCACCCGTATTTTGCAATTCCAGGTGTGCCTTGCCCTTGTACAAAGAAATATGTCAAGGAAGCTAAAGATAACGGTTATACTATCGTTCATATGGCGTTGCTTGTGCATTGCGCTATACCACCTCCACAGGAAGTGCCAACAGTCCGTTCCCTCATCCTTGTCATTGAGGCTTACTTTAGCTACGTGTTCTGGTCTATGCGCTCACAAGAGAATTCATATGGCTTCTCTGAATTTCTATGGCCGCGATCCTCCTTCGAATGGAGGGGACTGTGCTCGCACAGTCCCTGAGGGAATTCAGGATAGTGAAGACCACACTCCAGAACAGCTGGCTGAGATCGCTGCTTGGACCAAAGAGAAAGATCGCCTATACCAGCACCAATATCAGTGAGCTTTACGTGCAAACCCGACTCCAGAGTTTCGGGCTCGGAATCACAGGAACAATGTCAAGCAGAGGGATGCTACCAAAGCCAGGCAACAGACAGCAGTAGCCTCTCAATGGATGTTCCTTCAAAACAATACAATCGATCGGCTGGCTGAAGAGATTCAGGGAAAGATGCGCTTCATCATTATTGAGGCCATTGCCCGCTCACCCACGGCCACGGCCTAGAACAGCCACATAGTTTCGTGGTTACTCGCTTCATGACTCGCTTTGACAGCGAAGTTCATTTATCCATCATTCTGTCACACCATCGATTTCATCTCCTAGAAATCCAGAGGAGATGACATGGTAGCTAGGGGTAAGATTCTGTTAAAATATTATACCACTATGATTATGGATATGTAAGCCTGGACGATGAGTACATCATCCGGACACCTTTTTAGCCTAGTGGTATGAGATTTCTATCATTGGAGTCTGCTACAGGCGTTTTATATATCCTTGCCTAGGTAAAGGCCGTGCTTTGACCTGGTGGAGAAGTTCTTTGTAAGAGATAACAACTGCCTGAGATACTGGATAGTCAATATCAGTTGTCACCGGACATAGATCCAGGAGCTCTCGAGTCCCATGTTCAGGTATCATAGTGTAGTGTACGGGTATCATGCGCAAACTAATCTCATATCAAATCATCCGCTCCCATATACCCATCAAGCAGAGAAAACAGCACCGAAATTATAAGCCCTCAAAATCACCCGCCCACCATCTCCGGACTCGATCCGCCCCCGTCTTCGCGATGGTCCCAAACCCGGTCTTCCCCCGATCAGGATGTTTCTCTCGTTCCTCGCGACGGATCCGAATCAGCGCGGCGGAGGTCCCAATCGTAAAGGCGAAGATGGGATCTGCGAATCTGTGAGGCTGTTAGTGTCGATGTCAATGTCGATATCGGCGTCCGAGCCCCTGTCTTCCGTTGCTCGCAGGGGTTTCAGGACGTTTGGTGTATCTGGACGGGATGCACGTACTTGGAGATCAGGTAGATCGGCATGGTGATGGACTTGCTTTGTTGTTGATATAGCACTTGGTGTTGGAAGGGCTAGTCTCCGAAGGTGAATATTATAGCCTCGACACGCCGTATCTTATCCAGTGAAGCTGTAGCGATTTATAGTTGTAGCTCGATTTATCCGTTCTTTGCGGAGGCATTGAGAAATATAGGTCACGTGGCGCGTGGAGACCTTCTCCATCCATTGTTCCTCTACATTGGTACATGCAGGGAATGGAATTGCTTCACCTTTTTAGCAAATCCTTGAGTAATGCGGTCACTTACTAAGGCCCATTTGAGTCTCTCGTTGTGACAACCTTGGTATTGATCACACAATAATTAGATAATAACGATTATTGCTTCGAGCTGACATATATTTTCACCCCGCTCGACATATAACCACTTTAAAGAAGTGGTCTTAAAAAGCCAATGCTTCTATTATCGCGAACATCCTCCTGTACTATGTGAGGATGAGGTTATAGTATCTCGGACAAGTTGCTCTATAAGAATGAAACATACTGACTATCTAATGTGTAAGTGTACATCGCTAAATCAAGTATGACTACCCTATACAGATTGTCTCTATAAACACTCAAGACTTAAGGGGAGTTTTTTCTTTTGATTACCCAGTGACCCGTAACAAATCTATCAAAACAGAAAGACCCGACACTGAATGCTTTATCATCACACTGAAAGGCCCTTGAAGACAAAAGATGAACAAAAAAAATAGGCTCAGAATAATCCAATCATCTGTACATTTATACGACCTGACCAAATGCAGGGATCAAGGTCTGGGCCAGCCAGAAGCTGAAAACGAGCTTTGGCCCGGTCATCAGTAGCTTAGGAGTCAGGCCCTTAAAAAAGCTGGTGAATCCCTCGTTCTTCATCATGTTGGACACAATTCGGAAGCCAGACTCGGGATTCTCAAAGTTGCGGTTCTGGATACGAGTCTTGATGACGTCCAAAGGAGCAGACACGACCAGAGACGCACTAGCACCGCAGATGGACGCCACAAAGTTCTGGCCCCATGTGGCCTTGTTGTAGTCCGTCAGGCTATAGATGTACTCCTTTGCGAAAGCGGAACCACCGAAGAGCTGTGTGCTGCGATCAGTCTTCCATCCATACAAAAATGTTCTGATCCAGTTGTGCAGAACTTACCGCGAAAGATCCAGGGGCGTTACGAGCCGCAGTCCAGCCAGCGCCACGGTAGAGTCCCATACCCTCGTCGGAGATGATCTTGAAGAGGCCACGTCCACGGAAGGCCTCGGGATTCGTCTGACGCTTAATCTTCAGAACATCAAGGGGCAGAAGGACGATTTCTCCGATACCGATCAAACTATTACAGATCAGCGAAAGCTGCACATATAGCTCTCCAGTGCATATAGAAAGACAGACCTTCCAGCAGTAGCATGCATGATGGCCTTGCCAGTTCCCTTTCCGAAAGCATTATCGAAGTCGGAGCCATGGTGCTTGGCAAGATAGTCCCGAACAAAAGGCTGACCGCCATACTTGTAAATTCTTTGCAGGACCTTCGAGTACTGTCAGCCCATTGACACTCGGATCCCGCAAGTTCGCATCTGTACTCACCTTGTATCCAGCAGCGTAGCCCAGTCCGGGGAAGAGGGAGGTGAATTTGCGTCCGATAGGAGCAGTCGCGTATTCCTTGAAGACGACCTGCTTCAAGCCCTCGGTGGATGCGATCTGGTTATGGTATCCGTCAGCCACTCCGCACAAACCCGCCCGCTGTCGCAACAAGCCGGTCACTCACCCGTGTCTGATTGCTCATCAACCGCTTCGCTATGGTATCCACCTGAAATTCGAATTAGTTCAGATGCGCAATGATCGATTGGTCTCCTGCTAGAGGGAGATCGTACGGGATGGAAAACCATCAATTCGGCAATACCGGCGGTTCCTGTGAGTGGAAAAGTTAGTCATTGATCATAGGTTTCCAATTTGAGCGCACACATACCTGAGCCCAGCAGACGAGCAGTCGCCGATTCTCTCTTGACATCCTTGGAGGCAGAGCCAGCACCGGCTTGAACGATGGCAGGAGACATTTTGTTTTTAGTTGCTGGAAAACTTAAAGCGATTCGAGAAAAAAGCGGAAAGAAAACAGAAGGTCCGCGCAAAGAATGGAAAAAAGATTAAACTGATTACTGGCAATCGGACAGAGCAGAACCAATTATAACAGAAGTATAAGAATGAAAACACAGAACCCCGGACGAGGAGAAAAGATAGAGAGATGAAGCAAATCAGTCCATCACTTGCGCTCTTTCTTCTCGGAGCCGGAAACCAGGTCTCTGGCGCTAATCCCAAACGGGACTGGGCATCCGGGGCGAGATCGGACTGCCAGATTGGACGAGTCCATACATTGGTATCTTCTATTCAGCCCTGGCTTCGTGGTTGATGATATAGATCTGCGGTTGGATTAGGTTCTCAGGCTTGATCGTGGATAGCTAGGGATTATCTTCATATCTCATGGGATATGAAATCATACAGACATCCTTGGCCCTGGCACAGTAGCAGTCTCCTTTTACAGTAGAATCAAGGCAGATGTCATGGATCAGGCTGCGGTCATAAGAGCATAAGATAAGTACGACATGAAATCACACGAAGCTACATGGACTGATGCTGGCAGATTAATGTGAATCAAGCCCGAGGAAGGGCTCAGCTGAGGGAGTAACCACTCGGAACTTCGTCATGAATTAGAATGAATGCCATTCAAAACCAAAGTATCATGAGGTAATTTATTCATAAGAAGCCATCAAACCCATAACAAGTTCGCCAATCAAGTCCGTTGGAAAGAAAAAAATAACATCGTTGCACACCCGATATAACGCCTGCGTACATGAGAAATACCACCGCAAAGTCCGAGCAGTCCATCTATCTCATCATGGATCACTCGATTTCACGCCGAACCCGAAATGTAGATCCATGAATTGAACACCTTGACGGTGCGGAAATTTACATTTCCTAAGGAGGGCCCTCCGATACTCAGCAGTCGCCGAAAGTGTTCTCGCCAGAGTATCTGGAGAGACGAAGTCAATACATGTCTTGAGGAACGAAAGAGGGAAATAAACGCACGTGATGTATAGGAAGCCATCCTCATCCTTATGTTCTTCGTAGATACTGCTCATGAGTGCGGCGGTTGGTGGTAGGACCTCATCGACGAAGATGAAGATGGCCTTCTCGGGAGACAGCTTGATGCGCTTGCGAATGACATAGACGAACTGGCCAACAGTAAGATCCGCAGGCACTAGGTACTTCTTCTTGTCGATAGTAGCAATGTCCGACTTCTCGACTTTCTCGCAGATAACCTGTGGGTGAGGCAGCTTAGTTAGTATCCAAACAAGCGGTGAGAGTGAATTCTTGCTACTCGAAGATGCTAATATCTTCATAACTTTCTCCCAAAAATCAAGGGGCGATGAGCATACCGGAATGCGATCTGCGTACTTCTGGCGAATACGCTCAGCCTCTGCCTTGCGCTTCTCGAAAGGGTGCTCGTCCTTGAACTTCGACCGCATCTTGATAGATAAGGGCGGATAACGGGATAAGGCGAGGTCGGAAGGTTGTTGAGATCGAAAGACGGTGATGAAATTAGAGACTTGGGTGAAATTATCTTGCTGTTGAAGATGAATAGCAGACGGGTTAAGGTACGATGATGGAAAGAGGTGAAGATGGAGGATGACGAAGATGAAGGAGACTGATAGACAGGTAAGATAGGTCAGTAGTAAGTAATCCCCAGCCAAAGGCGACCTGGCAGGCAGACACAGTCACAAGTCACAAGATGACAAAACGAAACACAGGATGAACTGACAAATGCAATCAGCCCCGCGTAATATATGGTATGATCAGTGTATCATACACCTGATAAGTGTAGGTAGACGTGCAGATCACGGGGTTGTAGGCGGTCAAAGGAACCCCGCTCAGTGAGTCAGGTGCTTCTGATCATCCTGAATTTGTGCCATCTTATCTATGAAATATCCTGTGATACTCAAGCTATGTAGGATCGAATAATATCTATTTAGTCTGCTACTGAGCCTCATGACTCCTCTTCTGCAGATGTGACCAACTTGACAAGCTCTAAGAGGCAGTATGACGATATGGTCATAATCGGGACCTCATCCGGAGACTAGTTTGAGCTTCGGCCGCTTGATCCGCGGCAACTCAGAAGCAGTTGTTCCTGAACCCCCTTTCAAACGCTCTGCAGCGATCACCATGATCACTTCCATCTTAATATCATGTTTTGACTCATTGGCCGAGCAGATGAAGTACCAGATAAACTCTTGTGCCTATATGATCAAGCTCAGGCAACAAGGCAGCTTTATTGCCAGGATGCAAACGATTCAAAGTTGCTTCTCTTAGCCACCGCCTTACTAATGGAAAGCAAACAAGGCAATCAATGCAAATGGCACAAACCGTTTGGAATGGAGGTAGTTAAGCGTTCTCTTCCGAGTATCATGACAACGGGTGGTCCCATATCGACTGTTTTTGGAGGTAGATCAATTACTTCTCTCCTGCACGGTGGGCTGAGCCCCTCGGATAACATTTTCGTCTCCCACAGAGCTCCGGTAGCTTCTGAAACATCACCTGATCCTAGGATATCAGCCAATTGACTATCCACCTGCATATCTCTTAAACCATGGCTTTGCCGCGACCATATATGCCTCTTCGGAGGTCACTCTGCCAATTCTCATCTCGATCCTGTCGCAATCCCGCACGTGCGTTGCGAGGGACGCATCGTTGTTATTCGTCTGAGCAGAAGCCTCGAGAGCCGCAACAGTTTACTGTGTGGAGGCCCTATCTTCGGCTGGCAATCGGTGTGCCGTTCATAGGAGCCTTAATATATTCAATGGTACGTCCAACGATCTAGTGAACACCCAATCGATAACATGGTCTAAGTATGACTTGGCAGATGACCGGCGAAGTGACAGATCTCGACTCTCCGTCGATCGTGGAGCTCGACGAAACCCTAAAAAAACAGTCGACAATCGGCGAGAACTCACCCATGCGACTGCGAATGGAGAAATTGATCAAAGAACATCAACAGAAGATCGTGGATGAACTCAGCAGGATAGACGGGAAGGAGTTCAAGACGGATACGTGGACACGTCCTAATGGCGGAGGCGGTATTTCATGTGTCTTGCAGGATGGAAATGTCTTTGAGAAAGCCGGTGTCAATGTTTCGATCGTCTATGGTGAATTACCTCGACCCGCCATCGAGAAAATGCGAGCGGATCACAAGTCATTTGTCGGCGCGGACGTTGACTCACTGAGCTTTTTCGCTGCTGGCCTGTCACTGGTTCTGCACCCCCACAATCCCATGGCTCCGACAGTGCACCTGAACTACAGATATTTCGAGACCTCAGATCCCAAGGACCCTATCAATGGAGACAAAAACTGGTGGTTTGGAGGCGGCACAGATTTGACACCGTCATACCTCTTCCCTGAAGACGTCAAGCACTTCCATCAGACCATCAAGGACGCCTGCGATAGACATGACGCGACATATTACCCCAAATTCAAAGCATGGTGTGACAAATACTTCCACCTGCCTCATCGCGGCGAGGCTCGCGGTGTTGGTGGTATCTTTTTCGATGACCTTGACGCCAGTTTCCTTGAGTCCTCTTCTACCTCTTCCCAGAACCCTCAAGAGACTCTCTTCTCATTCGTTTCTGATGCTCTCGCGTCATTCCTACCCTCCTACGTCCCCATCATCGAAAAACGCAAGGACATGCCCTTCACTCCTGCCCAGAAGGAATGGCAACAGCTTCGGCGTGGTCGCTATGTCGAATTCAATCTTGTCTATGACCGCGGAACAAGCTTTGGATTACGCACACCCAACGCTCGTGTTGAAAGTATTTTGATGAGCCTGCCTCGCACTGCAACATGGGCATATATGGACCCGGTATCCGGAACGCGTACCGACGGTCCCATGTCGGAAGAGGAAGAGCTTCTAACTCAGGATAAGGTAGCCGAAAAAGAGATGATGGATGTTCTGAGACATCCCAGGCAATGGGTTTGATACACTGACTTGCAGTCGACTGAAGCGCGCGTCCTGATTCTGTGCAGGATAAAGATGTATAAATTTTCGGTCTATTCTTGTAATATACAGCACGGTTCAGGCGCTCAAAATATAGGAGTCACATGACCGTGATTCATCTAGGTTGTATTTTTGTTGAGATTCGGGTCTGAGATGTTAATATTTAACTGGGGACTGGGTATCAAGCAATAGCTCGTGTGTGCGTGTCTTAACACTGTGTCTCTATATAGTCTCGGCTTAACAAAGGAAATAAGGAAGGTGACGGGATAAAAGAGCAAGCAAAAGACAATGAAAAAACCAACTCCTCAACTTACAAGACAAAGTGATCCTAGCGACCTGCTACTAGACTTCTTTGTCTCCCCAACCAGCCCTTTTGAAATTCGCTTATGTTGGCTCCGTTGCGGAATCTCGACACTGTGACATTGTTGCTTTGTAAACGGCCTTGGAGATCATACCAGGCGGAGCTGATAAGAGCCAATTCGCGGGCCTGGTTGTCGATGACCTTCTGAAGCTCGAGCTGGACGAGAGACGACCCTGTCAGTAGAGGGGGACAACAGGGAGAAGAAGGACAGTCGGCTTATCTTGAATGTGTCGAGCCGCGGCAAAGACAACGAAAAGAAAGGACCATCGCTTACCTCGCGCTCCTTGCTAATACCATCAGCGGCATCGTCTTCTTCGAAATGCCTGATGCGCTCTTGTAGGAATTTGATGTGCTCGTTTTGATGGTGAATGTACTAAATCACAGATCGCATCAGTCAGCTTTCGGCGTAAATATGCCAGAGAAATGCAGCGGCCGGGACAATTAGGAGCGCTTGAATCTTGACATGAAGCTTTTCAAGCGCGATGGTTGTGCATCTCGCTTGGGTGCCTTCGTAGGATTTTCCCAGGAGGTATACTTTGCCACGAAGCCACGTACGCGCCGTGGCTGAGGGCGCAAACCAGCATTTACAGCCGCGGTAGATGAACTCTTCGCAAAGACTTTCCCAGAATGTGTAGATCCGGCGTTACTGAAAGGGACTGGAGAGAATCTACTGACCTCTGCGCGCTTCGCAAGCTTTTCAAGATACTTCTCGATCAGTTCGGCGACTTCTTTGGCGAGCTCGGGACCAGATTTCTGAGAAGCATCTGCAGAATCACCGTTCTCCTGGGCCGTCAGTTCCGCCAGCAGCCTCTTCATCTCGTTGGACATTTCCTGATCCTCCGCGTGTATTTCGACTTGCTTTTTGTCGAACAAGCTGCGCAGCTCATCGCGTTCGGCGCACACTTCTCGGACCAACTCTTGACTAGCGTCAAGCTCAGCCTCGAGCAAATGTATTCTATGCAGACAGTCATCCCATTCAGCACGAAGCTTGGCCACTTCGGCTGAGTTGCTCTCCTTGACTTCATGAATCATGTCTACTTTCTCCTTGCCGGCAAGTCCAACTGCAGTTTCATAAGCAGACTGTTGAGACGCTCTGTATTTAGAGTAGATAAACAACTCACCCTCAGCCATGGCGTCTGTCAGGGCCCTCTTGGTAATTTCGAGAGAATCTTGAGCGTCGGCAAGTTTTCCAAGTGCTTGCGTGTAGTGGTCGTATAGTTTCCAATACTCGTCACTGAACCTTCCGTGAGTACGTGGTGAGAAAAGAGGTTCAATCACATACCCTTGTGACGAATTGGCCTGAGCGAGCCGATGAATATGTGAGAAATTCTCCGAGAATCCCTCAAATTGGGAACCAATCTGGGATTCGTCGTCAGCATGGTACGCAGCGAACTTTCCTAATTCCTCCTCGAGCCAACTTACAGAGGGCTGTTCCTTTAGCGACTCGACCTCCTTGCGCAGCTCGTCATTTTCCGCTTTACTACTGTCGGTCAGCTCAGCCTCTTCGAATATAGTGGGAAGGACTGACAGTTGAGATTCCTGGATACCTATGCCCTCAAAGTCTTCCTGTAATGTGCCTCGCTTTGGTGTCTCGGTGCCTGGAGTGAGCGATGGACTTCCGGGCGAGCCCTCAAGCTCGCGGATCCGTTCTCTCAATTCACTAATCAGTGCATCATCTCTCTCGCGCTGTTCTTCGGCACTACTGAGGCGTTCCGTAAGGGCATGATTGTTGAATTCAAGCTGCTTTTTCAGGTTCTGAATCTCGCTGCATTCCTGCTCGATGCGCGGAAGAACTCTGCGATATTCCTCAAGTTCTACTTCACGCTCCGCTGACCATCTCTGCTGCGAGTCCGCATCCTTTAATTGCTGCTGGAGGTCTTTAATTTGGTTCTTCAGACTCTGGTTCTCTTTCTCAAAATCCTGACTGGCCTGTAGCTTTTGACGGTACTTTTCCGCTGCATTGGCTTTTCGCGCAAGCTGATCCCTGTCGGTCTTAAGCTCATCGTAATCATCTTGTAATTTCTGGAAGCGCTGATTCTTGACATGTAGTGACTCCACCGTCATGCGCAAGCTGTCAATCTCATCCTGCGCTGCGGCGATTCTCTCCTCCTGGGATGCGATCAAATCCTCCTGCTGACGCGTCTTTGACTCCAAAGCCTTTGCACTGACCCCAATGTCGCCTTTTCCGGACTTCAGTGTCACCAAGCGATCCTCCGTTGAAGCAAGACGGCTCTGCAGAGTGTCATTGTTTTCCTGGAGGCGCGCCAGGCGGTTGTGCAGATCTTCCAGCGCTTTCTCCAACTCCTTCTTTTCATGCGTCAAGCGATCGTTCTCCGCAATCACCTTTCCCACTCGTTCTTCGAATTGCAGCTCGAGATCGACCGGAAGGTCCTGTTTCTTGGTGTCTTCGTTGGTTTCGTCTTCGACATCGGTTGAGACCAATTCCCCGTTTGACTCCTCGATTGCGATCTTGAGCCCTTCCTGCGCCTGTAGACTCAAATCCTGTATTTGATTGACGAATCTCTCTGGGTTTGGCGAGCGAATGACGGCGATCAGGAGCAGTTTCAGGAGCTTGTTGGTGTCCTTCACCGAGTTATTTTCCGCAATAGCTTGAAGATCAGGAGACGGGTCCAAGCCAGAAGGCAGTTTGCCGGTTTGCATTCGCAGATAACCGGTCAGATGCTTGTGGACATGTTTCAGGTTGGCCAGTTTCGCAACCCAGTGATCGGATGTATTCCGCTCGGGCAATTCGTTGAGGAAGTACTGAGGGTCAATATCCTGCAGAATTTCCCAAAGTATCGTGCCATCGCTTAATTCCTCAGTAGATCGTAGCGTTTTACCGAGAGAGAAACTGTTGATCCATTCCAACAGGGCCTGAGTGATCGTGTGTTCCGACGCCATGTTGGGAGGGAGGGAATGCGTCGCGGCTTGGGAATCTTAGGAATGTGTAGGAGCTGAATGATGGTAGGAACGGTGATAACAGTCGGAGGGGTTGCAGCGATAATTTCATCTCTTTTTGAGAGCAATGTAGGACTGAAAATTTGCTTAAATAGTTGATATATTCGGTTGTTGTCTCTCCTGAGCCTCGCGAGTTCGGGGAAGTTTCAAAGCGGGCTCCACGCGCACCTCTGCTAGGCCGAAGTCAAGAGATCATCTTTATCTATACGTATGATGTCGCAGAATCCACACCGACTTATTCTGATGGACAAAGGATATTGCAAATAATGTCTTTGTTTTCTGTCTCTAAAGTATTTCCCTTTGTTTCATGGGAACGATACAGATGTGAAATAAATCATCATGAAAAACAACGCTAGAATACTGCTTGTCACAAGAGAGACAAGAGTCATAAGATAGGATCAATTCATTATCCATATATTCAAGGACAGAATCAGTGAGAGGTATTCCAGAAATCGTTAATCATGAGCAGCTTGGGGTTCCCAATCATTCAGAAGGCGATGACTGCCTCATGGCAGCTGATATTAACTGCTGTTGCAAGTATTTAAGCCTTCGACTCTTTATCACCATAAATCGAGACCACCTGATCTCCTTCGATAATTGGCTTATACTTGGTGGATTGTGCCGAAAGACTCTGAATAGCAGTGTCTGGAGCCTCCGCAGAGAATCCCCTGAGATGGTGTCAGATGCGATTCCAGCAAGATGAAAGTTAGGGAAGGGGAGAGGTTACTTGATCAATTCTAAAGATAGAGATATATCAGTACTCCGAACAAATCAAGTATGCTCCAATAGCGGAATGGCAGTACTTACGGTACTCATGAGTGATTTTACCACCCTGGTATGAAAAGTAGATCAGTAAATCATAAATATATGGAGCGCATAACCTCAAGAGCATAACATACGCCTTGCACGATGGACTTCTGCGCTTCCTTGATGACCGAGTCCGGAGTGTCCTGAGGGTAAGTGACCAGAATCGACTTGGCTAGAGCCAGAGGAAGAAATCCGAGAAGCAAGGCAGACGATAGTTTCATTGTTATAGAAGTATGATTCGAAATGGCACAACCACTTTGAAGTAGTACTATCTTTATACACAAAGACAATTAGTATTCACAGCGATTTACCTCGAAGATGATAGTCGTTGGGGGACCTGGATAGCACTGATATCCGCCTCCTCAGTGTAGTAGTACGGCACAGTGGCACTGCGTCATGGGAACGGTGACTAAGCCAGACAAACCAGCCAAAATTCGGTCATTCTTCAACCTTCACTTCACTTCCTCCTCCTCAATAATAATACCTCATAATCACAATCAACCTCCATCTTCCGATTCCCCTTTTGGCTCTTTTTAAAAGATCTCTCGCAAGTTTTCTCTTTGATTCTACCCCGAATTCATCTCTGCCGTTGTGTTGGTCCTCAAGGTGTTGCGTTCTCCAAACTTTCTCCCAAGCGCGGAAAACACTGTCAGATTCCCTCACCATCATCTTCGTACCGTTTGCGTTCCTTTGCTGGTTAACACTCCTGGAAGGGTCAATCGGGCGAGATAATTTACGAGGTAGTTTCTTATAGTGGGCATAGAAGGATAGTCGCGGGTTTCTCTGTGGTTTAGGTCGAGGACTGGCGCCTGCTTCGTCTCGTTGTTATCTCCAAAGTCTCGCCAAGATAGCTAGCAAGCATTTTACAAGTTTCGACTTTTCTTCCATCTCTTGCTCTTTCAGGAGATCACTGTTCTGGGAAAACACAGGAGGAGAGAATAAGAAACCTATCTTCATAAGAAACCAAGTTGAAAAACACAAGAGAAAGAGACGGGAACAAAGAGGAAAAAGAACATCACTACTTAAGAAGAAAAGAAAGAAGAAAAGCAGACAAGAAACAGGGAAAGAAAGAAAAAACAGAAACAGACAGAAGGAGGGAAAACATCCCCAATATCCCTGAGAGTTGCTACATTCAATTGACCATTTCCTTTGTTCCCTTCTCCCTCGCCTTCATTCTCACCTTGCCCACGAACACCATTACCTCCCGGCGTACTTGCCCGTCATGTCGTCTGGGCTCGCCTCTGATGAGGTCGCTGAGGATTACAAGAACTCCCTGGAGGATCTAACCACGAACGACAGGTTCCAGATCAGCAACTTGACCGTCATAGCCAAAGAGAATACAGAACATGCTATGGCCATCTCCCGAGTGTTGGAGAACCACATTCGATCAGTAGGTGTTATCTTTTGTTTCTCACTCTCATGCATTGCTCCTTGGCTTTTGTATTTCGCTCGGCGCTCAGTTGGTTGTAAGTTTGATCGGTTGAACCACTTCTAATCGTGTGCTGTAGACACCGCCAGCTCAGAAGCTTCCTGCCTTGTATGTAGTCGACTCCATTGTGAAGAATGTGGGAACTCCCTACACGCTTTTCCTGGGTCGCAATATGTATCAGACTTTCATGAATGCCTACACGTTGGTGGACTCGCAGACCCGCAAGAAGCTGGACGAAATGCTCAAGACATGGAAGGAACCTGTTCCCGGGTCACTAGATACAAGACCCGTCTTTCCTCCGGAAATTACACGCAGCATTGAAAGCGCTCTGATCAAGGCGAGAACCGCGGCTCTACAGCAACAGCAGGCGAGGAGCCAGCAAGATATACTCAACCGCGGCCGGGTGGGCACTCCTCCCCAAGGCTGGGCCAACAACACTACGCTCAACCAGAGTGCGGCTCGACTCGCGCCTTCCACAAGTCAGAATGGACATGCACATCAGGTCCGGAATGGACACACGCCAAATTATCACGCCGCGGTAAGACCATGCAAGCCGCAAAATGATCGTCTTTATTGCCTTTGTCATATCTAACGGATAGACAGTTGGACCCTCGGTCTACGCCAACCCCTCAACCTTTGCAGCGCTCGGAAGTGGATCTCGCTGCATTGAATCGCGATATCGAGGCATTGATTGCAGCTGCTCGAAGCGATTTCGCCAATAACCCTCTCGACCCTTCTGTGCAACAGCGTCTCAAGGCTCTATTAGACCTGCAAGGCATCCTCCAGCGTCAAGAGCTCACTCAGGAGCAGCTGAAGCTGGTCCGTGACCAGGTCTCTGCACTCACTCCAAAGTCTGCTCTTTCAGTTCCCCAAAGCGTTCCGCCAGCCATCCCAGCCATCCCAACTATCCCAGTTATGCCAACACCTAGCATGGCCACTCCACCAACTCAGACCCTTTCGCAGCCACTTCAGCAGCTCCTCAACCCGGGAACATTAGCTGAGCTTATCAAAGCAACTGCTGCACGCCAGCAGCCCACGCCACCACCTCAAGTCCACAGTATTCTACCGCAGATGCCAATACCTAGCAGCACACCACAACCAGCGGCCATGCCGGCGACCGAGAACCCATTAATTGCAGCTCTACGAGCGCGCGGCCTCTTGCCTCCTGCTTCCGCACCTCCTGCCCCTACCACTGCTCCACCGTCCAATATTGCATCTGCCTTTCCGTTTATTGTACCTGGTCAGGTGCGATTTACAACTCCAGTGCCTCCTATGCCTCAGGCTCCTAACTCCTCGAATATTACTATCAACGTGCAAATGAACACGGCATCCATTAAAATGTAAGTTGGTACTTGTAATGTCCGCTGCTGTTTCTTAACCTAATCGGATGCAGACCGCGAGATGCACTAATAGCCAGCCTCTATGAAGCGAGACCTAACCGTTGTGGAACATGTGGTCGTCGATTCTTTGCAACAGAAGAAGGCAAAGAAAAGAAGGCTCGCCATTTGGACTGGCACTTCCGGACCAACCAACGGATGGCGGACGCTGCCAAGCGAGCTCAAAACCGCAGCTGGTACGTTGACGAACGGGTGAGTGAATTTCTCTTTGTCCAAAACTCATGGTTTGAAGATTCTTCCTAACAACCGGGCAGGATTGGATAAAATCCCGGGAAGCCGGGGACGATGAGGATCCTGCGGAGGCAGAAGCTACAAGTGCTGGTGCTGCCGGTGCTGAGGGTGATTCAACCAAGAAAGGGCCGCCCAAGCAATGGATTCGGGCTCCCAATGATGCTACTTTGCGCAACACACCCTGTCCCATTTGTCAAGAGAAGTTTGAGTCGACATGGTCGGAGGAAGTCCAAGACTGGATATGGCAGGATGCCATCAAGGTCGGGAACCGGATATACCACGCGAGCTGCTACGCGGAAGTCACAAAGGACGGGACGACTCCGGCTGCAGGTCGGGGTACGCCTTCGGCACGGACTGGAACTCCGGATTCCGTGTTGGGCAAGAGGAAGGCAGAGGTATGTTCGATCCACGACGGCAGAAAGTTTGCGCGTATCAAACTAATCCATCGTACAGGGCACTGACTCTCCCGGGTCAAATGTTCGAGTTAAGGTGGAGCCTGTGTGAAGAAAGTGGTGCTTCCTCTCTTGCATTCAACTTCAAAAACCCCGTCTCTGCTTTCTGCTTTGGGGACCAGGGGCGACATGCATGCGTTGGAGTTGACATTATTATTCTTCTACTCTTTTGGTGGTTGCATTTAGCCGGCGGCTGTATTGCATTCGAGACCCCGCACTAATATTGGGGCATTTTTGACTATCTACCAGCATTGCCGTCCATGTATTCCAGACAATGCTTCATAGAACATTCTATAAACCAGTACCTAATCTGAGAAAGGCAGCTAAATCTTGTATCTTATCTACAGTTTGATTTCCCCTTGTAATCCTGGAAGAGGAAGCTGGATAATGAATTCCGTTGGATCTGCCCTGCTCGGTGCTGCTCCGGGGAAGATGCTCGATTATTATTGATAATCATAGTTGGAGTAGAAGCCAAGATGAATTGAGTGTTCTTATAAATACAGCTCGTGCCCCTGAGTCTCTGTCTTAGTTTGACTCCATCCTTCTCTCTGCTGTACAGTTCCACTGCCAGTTGTCCAACCTCCGACGTCACCATGGCTCCGTACAGCATCCGGTGGGGTATTATGGGTATGTTTTCCAATCCTCCCATCCCCAGTGGCATTCTAAGCTGACAAGACTTCAAATAAAATATAGCCACGGGCTGGATTGCAGACGGTATGTTTCCATGAATTCATCAATCGAGACAAACATAACCAGCTAATGCAATTACTTGACGCTTAGTCTTCGTAAGAGACCTTCTGCGCGACCCCAATCTCCGAGACGCATCTGACGTCTCCCACACTGTCGTTGCCGTCGCCTCCTCTTCAGCCAAGGACCGGGCGGAGAAGTTCATTGCTGATACGGGCATCCCGGCGCCGTGCACTGCGTACGGCTCGTACGAAGAGCTCGTGGCCGATGCTAACGTGGACGTGGTGTACGTCGCGACGCCGCATTCGCACCATTTCCAGAATGTGATGCTTGCGCTGGAAGCGGGCAAGAATGTTCTCTGTGAGAAGGCTTTCACCGTCAATGCGGCGCAGGCGAAGATCCTGTGCGAGACGGCGAAGAAGAAGAACCTTTTCTTGATGGAGGCAGTGTGGACGCGGTATTTCCCTCTCAGTGTGCAGGTTCGAGACCTCATCAAGCAGGGAGCCATTGGCGAAGTCCTCCGGGTGGTTGCCGACAACAGCTTCGGGGATAATGTCGAGGAGCGATGGGGCACTCAGCATCGGATGGTGAACAAGGACCTCGCTGGTGGCTGCTTGCTGGATCGTAAGTTCCCTCTTGCTTATACGGACTTCTGGCCATTTGGCATGGTGCTAATGATCGTTTCGCGGCAGTGGGCATCTACTCCTTGACCTGGGTCTTCCAGACCATGTACCACACTCTGCCCCGGGAGCAGCGCAAAGCTCCTTCGGCCATCTCCACGCACATGTCTCTCTATCATCTGACGGGTGCCGACGAGGCGACCACTATCCTGCTCACGTTCCCAACGACCACCCCAACTAACAATGCCCAACCCGGTCACTCTCAGGCAGTCGCCATGACCCATCTGCGGGTCGCGACCGATCCAGATGAGCAGGGCGCCGCTGGCCCCTCGATCCGCATCCAAGGGACAAAGGGCGAGATTCAGGTCTTTGGGCCCGCCTTCCGGCCCGAGCGATACCGTCTGATCCCGAAAAAGGGCCATGGCGAGATCAAGGAGGTGCAGTGCCCGTTCCCGGCGGATGGGAAGGGCATGTACTGGGAGGCCGACGAGGTTGCGCGGTGCCTGCGCGATGGAAAGCTCGAGAGCGACGGGCTGCCTTGGGAAGAGAGCATTGTCATCATGGAGGTCATGGACGAGGTTAGACGGCAGGGTGGGTTGACCTATCCGGAGAAGATCGAGTCCACCGTATACCCTACCCAACTGTAAGGTTTTGCGGAGATGTACATACTTGGCTCTGCAGCCATAAATTGAAGTATTTTCACATGGCTGGCCTTCTACCTGGGTACTTCATCCATGTCCTCGGAAGCTTCATTCGTCGCAGGGGCAATTATCATAGAAAAATAGTTCGCACTACACACTATGAAATGGATTAAGGCCCAGCCATCACCAAATAGTACTAATACGGTTGAACATAGTGAATTTTGGTTGCCAAAGAAAAAAATACTATACATAGCGCTCTAATTCCACTGAAGGTATCTTCATGTACGGACGCCAAAAGGACTCTCTAAATACCCTCCTTTGCAGTCCGACAAGAGGCAGATGGGCACATCTTGCAGATTACATGGAATCAACTCAGTACTTTTCCTTCGCACATGCCACTCCTCCCCTTCCCGGCAGGGGACATTACAGGGGCTGAATGACGCACGCTCATGGACCCATATGGCACCTTCCACAAGGCTATTTCTAAATTTACTTCTGGAAAACACCGAGCAAGCTCTTCCACACCTGGCCAGGCTCCTGGCTGGCGTCAATGCCTCGCCAGATACCGGTCTTCTTATAGTAGTCGACAACAGGGGCTGTCTGGGCGTGGTAAGTCGCAAGACGCTTCTTCAGCGTCTCGGCGTTGTCGTCGGAACGTTGAATCAGGGGCTCGCCAGTGACATCATCCTTCATGTCGTCCTTGGGAGGGTTGAAGATCTTGTGGTACGACCGTCCAGAGGCAGGGTGGACAAGACGTCCAGTAATTCTGGCGACCAGGAGGGCATCGTCGATCTGCAGCTCAATGGCATGCTGGAGCTTCTGCTGACGAGCTTCGAGCATGTCATCCAGACGCTGGGCCTGAGCAACCGTTCGGGGGAAGCCATCCAGAATGAAACTAGAAACATTGGACGGTCAGTCACTTTCCATCTTCAACTTCAAAATGAACTTCAATGGGGCATGTGTGTACGAACCCGTTCTTGCACTCAGTGTTGGTGTCGAGCTCGCTCTTGATCATGTTGACCATGATCTCATCGCTGACAAGACCACCTTGGTCCATGATCTTCTTGGCCTCCTTTCCGAGCTCAGTCTTCTTGGCGACCTGGGACCGCAGCATATCACCGGTAGCCTTTGATGTTGGACACGAAATGTCAGCGGCGCACTGCCCTCAATGACTTGCAATTCAATAACGTACCAGGTGGCACACGCAGTACTTCTCCTTAAGCCGAGGCGCCTGAGTACCCTTGCCTACAACCCGATCAGAACCATGAAGCCATTATCGCAATCGGCAACCCGTGTAGAGCATCCGGAAAATCCATACCAGCACCGGGAGGTCCCATAAGGATGATGCGCATCTGTTCGGCGACAGACTTAGGCTTGGATTCACCGCCTAGACGGCCCTCCAACTCCTGCACACGAGTCTCAAGCTTATCGATCATGTCCTTAAGACCGTGGACGACCTCTTCTGTGATGGGAGCCATTGCGATTACTGACGGCGAGAGAATCGAAGTATGACGCTATCGAAAAGCTCTCCGGAGAGGAACAGAACAGGAAAGGGAAGAAGGGAAAGGAGGGGGAGGAAAAGGAAGCAAGGTGTCTGGCAGAGAATCGTGCTCAGTGACGGGGAAACGGAAAGGAAGGGAGGATCGGAGAACTAATATTGGGGGAGGAAAAGAGATCTAAACCGGAGCGGACGACCTCCTCCCGCGCGTCCGAGGTTCGGGGCTACAGCCAAGTACAACGTTCAAGCACGTACGAGTAGCAACTGAGTCGTAGGACATTTAAACACATGTAATCCATGCATCATGACTTTCAATTCCTCCAAATGAGGGGCTTGTTATGTCCATAGTATATGCCAAATGATTGAAGGTACTCCGTACAAGGTCAAAAACACGAGTTCTGACTAGCTGGCCTCAGGCAATAAGGCCCCAGAAGTGGCTGGTGCGTTGGTAGCCAAGCACAAGCCACAAGACCACAACAGCTCGTGTGGCTCAGCAGCGGAGGAGCTCCAGGGCAGAACAACAGCAGCTATCTTTCGCTCCGTCATCATCATAATCCTCCTCATCCTCATCCCCAGTCTCAAGCCACTAATCGATTTCTCTTTCTCCGTTGCACCCACAATTCTTCCTCGTCCTCTGTATCATCGGAATCAGCATCTGTGATCTATTCAGGGCCTTCCAACACCCTCCTTTCTGCCTCTGTTCTAATCTGGTCTGGATCCACCATGCCTGCCACCACGGCGGACACACTCTCCCTCGTCACGCGCACCGTCACGGTCGCTCCCTTGGTCCTTCTTTCAGTCGCAGATCATTATGGACGGTCAGCCAAGGGAACTCGGAAGCGTGTTGTTGGTGTACTCCTCGGAGAGCACTCGGGCCAGACGGTTCGAGTATCCAACAGCTTTGCAGGTGCGTTGTCTCCCAAGTCGGCTTGGTTTTGTATCCTTGGTAGCTGTACAGCGGTACTGATGTCTCTATATTGTAGTTCCATTTGAGGAAGATGAGAAGGATCCCTCCGTTTGGTTCTTAGATCACAACTTTGTTGAGTCCATGAGCGACATGTTCAAGAAGATCAATGCCCGCGAGAAGCTTGTCGGATGGTATCACTCGGGTCCCAAATTACGAGCCTCTGATCTTGAGATCAACGAACTCTTCAAGCGATACACACCGAACCCCTTACTGGTCATTGTCGACGTCCAACCAAAGGAGGTTGGCGTTCCCACAGATGCCTATTTTGCTGTTGACGAGATCAAGGACGTAGGTTGATCCCTTGCGATGCTCTTGTGAGCTCTTCAGTCCTTATTCAGCTGACCTGATCGCTCGCTCTACCCAGGATGGCACAACAACGTCCAGAACATTTGTCCATACCCCTTCCGTGATCGAGGCCGAGGAAGCTGAGGAAATTGGTGTTGAACACCTGCTTCGAGACATCAGGGACGTTGCCGTTGGAACTCTTTCAACACGCATAACATCGCAGCTTCAGTCGCTGCAGGGCTTACACTTACGCCTGCGTGATATCGGCCAATATCTCCAGAAGGTCCTCGATCACGAGCTGCCGGTCAATCACGCTATTCTGGGCAATCTTCAGGATGTCTTCAATCTCCTTCCCAACCTATCTACTCCAGCAACGACGTCGCGTCTGAGTGGGTCGGAGCCACAGATGGAGAACAGCGAACTAGCACGGGCAATGAGCATAAAGACAAACGATCAGTTGATGGCCATCTACATCAGCAGCTTGATTCGTGCTATTACCGCCTTCCACGATTTGATTGAGAACAAGATTCAGAACCGGCAACAACAAGAAGAGAACGAATCGAAGAAGGAGCAAGAAGCAGATGCTGCCAAAGGTGACAAGGAGGGTGCGAAGAAGGCGAATGGCATGAACGGCGAGCAAAAGGAGGATCAGGAGAGCTCCAAGGAGAAGTCCAAGAAGAAGAGTTAGAAGTGTCATTCAACAAGGCACAACCGATATGAAAATTAGAACAAGTCAGTTTATGCATGGAAATGTATATTACGATAATCTGAGAATCGATCTCGTCCCGAGCACCAAGCGAGCTCGAGCAGTTTTGGAAATAGAGTTTCCTCCGTGATATAGCGAGACATCGGATGTTGGACTGTAGATTTCCGGAAGTATCTATGACACTGCGCGTTGAAAGCGCTGTGTCCCTAGCTGCGTCGCTGTCAAAATGTTTTAGAGCTTGAGGCTCTCACTGACGTATTGCGGCAGAAGAATGCCCATTTCCTGGCAGGCAACTGAAAGACTCTGCTGGATAGTCTGAATATCTCTTATGGAGGAAGTAAATTCTCATATCATGGTATCGTAACGTCTTTCAAGACAGAGGTGTAGCGGTATCTGTGGATCAATGCCCTGCGTGGTTGCGAGAATCATCCCCCCCAGCCCGCACAACACGCCGCCAATTCATCACAAGTCAGAACGACACGACCAGATCGATCTGGGCTGCCGCTACTGAAGATCCCGGGACAGCGCACCATCAGCAAGCAAGCGAGGAGATGTTTACAGACCGGGGGTGCCAGTCGGCTGGCTCCACGGGTCAACGAGCCGCCAAAAACATAGCGGCAGGCCAGGTCGCCGACGGTAGACTGTTCAGCCCAGGCCTCGTCTTCGTCTTCTCCATCATACTGAGATGAGTGGTCCGGCCCCGGATCGCGGAACGCATTGAGCGTAAAGGTGGGACATGTGCAGTTCCAGGCGTGCAGGCGGACTTCGTAGCCCTTTTGCTCTATGCGTGTCCGGGGAGCCCGGGATGGAGAGGTCAGCACAGCCGCAGACGTGGATATGACATAGAACATGTCTTCTTGCGATCTTCCTGTGTTGCTGGGGTCGGTTTCTTCAGGCTGTGAGCATGCAGATGCTTGCCCGACGTGGTCATCCCGCGTGAATCGTCTGACCAGTCCCCGGTCCAGGATATCCAGGGCCAGGAGGAGCTCATTTGGGAAGAAACAGTGCAAGGTCAGCATAACTGGCTTGACCTGAGATAATTGAGCCTCGGGGAGGGAAGAGAAAGATGAGTGGCTTGTGGAAGTGTGTCGTTGAGGGCGTATAGTGGGATGGTCAATCCCATCGTTGAGGTCTTGGGACTCGGGTCTACATGATGCGAGTTGTGAAATCAATCGGTCAATGAACTGAGTAGTTGAAGGTAGGGTTTTGTGGTCATCTTTAAGCTCTGACTCCATGGAAGTACGTATGCTTGATTGTTGCTCTCAGCTCGTCCAGACAGACCGATGAGTAGGCTCGGGTGTCACTGATCAAGTCTCCACTTACCATAAGAACGATCTACAACTTTCGACTTTCTTACAGGCACTGGACTTCATTTCAAACATTTCAACAAGTTATCAATAAATATTGTCTATCATGCATAAAACACATGCTGAACCTCAGTAATACAATGAACGAAAGGACCGCAATCATTGCAGGGGCAAAAATGTCAACATCAGCTCCCACCCATGTATACTTGCTCTGCATATTATACCCAGTCGATGTGTCTTTGCACTCTTCATTTTTTGGCTCGACTGAGTAGTCTCGCCGATCGACGGGTCCCTTTTGGCGGACTTGAGGATTTCTTTGTGACACCTTTCGGCTTGGCTGCTTTCCCGGACACTGTGTCTGTTGCTTTCTTGGTACCAGCGTTGGAATCTTTGGTGTCTGTTGTTTTTGAAGGCGCTCCTTTAGGCTTCTGCACTATCCGTGGCTTAAGCGACATGGTCACTTGTCCCTCGAGAATTTCGCCGGTATCTTCTGAAGTGAACGTCAGCTGCAGAGTAGCACGCTGCGTTCTCGCTCTGGGCCCCAGTGCCACAAGGGCACCTTTACCTGGGTCCAGGACCAGCTGCTGGTCGATCGTCCATTGGATGGGTCTCCCTTCCAGCTCAATGGTCCCTTTCATTTGTACACCTCCCTTGGCAGAGCCTTTTCCTGAGCTTGATGCTTTGGGACTGGAGGAGCTGGCAGCGGCCGATGAACCTGTATTGGAGTCAGCTGAATTGCCCTGGGATTCCAATCGCCGATACGCAAGTATGTAAGCATTCTCCTTTCCACCGTCTGGCGAGCTCATACTCTGATCCAGGGTCTGAGTAAATGCCACGCGTCTGTCGTTGGTCATCACCCATTGACCGGAGGGACCCTTGACGGCCGCAGTATAGTGTCCGCTTGTACTGACATCGCCGATATGAAAGATGACCGCATAGAGCTCGTAACAGATCTTGCCTTGTCCCTTGAGACCGTCATCTAGAAGGGAATCTGGAATGACTAACTCATCCTGAACTTCGATTTCGTCTTTCAGTTTTCCTGACTTTTTGTATCGATTGACCTGAACGACAAGAATTTCCGAAGGAAGTAGTATCTGTCTCTGAATCTCGTGAGGAATCTGGTTATTGGCGCATGTCTTGCAATTCGAAAGAGTCTCCGACTTCATGCCACTAATGATGGCGTCCTCTATGGGAGTAGCCTTTTTTGAGCCTGGAAGATCTGCATAGAGGAACCGTACCCTATCCCCAGGCGATGAGTCTTTCTGCTTGCAAGTCTTGCAAACTCGGTACTGGCTCAGATCGACAGTCATCAAATCCATGAGGTCGTGATTACTTCTGTTTGTCAGCTTCAGGATAATTATGTTCTATGGGATGCGGAAAGTGGACGACTTACCCAGTTTGGCTTTCCAGGAGTGAGATGATGCTATCCATCATCTCGAGCGTGTCATGCTGCTGGCCTAGGGTTGTTTGCCAGCGATGATTGCGGTGCTTTCGATTCTGAAGTTCTCTCCACAAGGTCTCCATAGCCAGCTGATGTCCGTTGGGACATTGCCAGTAGGCTTTGATCATGTCGTAAAATTTGCGAACTACGTCTGGGACTGAACCACTCGGGGCCTGCGCGCGGTATTTCTCGCACCAGCTCAGAAACTGTGGTGTGTGGAGAATCAGCGTGAGAGCTGCATTCCGGTAGCAAAGGTTTTGTCCCTTGTGGTTGTCAAAGCCTCTTGTGGGCAAGCTTGGTTTCAGGGAGACGTGATTCCAGGCCGAGGATACAGCGCCTTGCTGCTGAGAATTGTGTTAAATCAGTTCTGCATAAGATCATATGCGTTAGAGAAGGACTTACAGGAAGAGACCCTGAAGGGGACGTCGGCTGATTCGCCATTTGGGTACACTAGTCCGACGGGCAATATATGCTTGCTGCTGCAGATGCAGAATAGGTTGTCCTAGATAGGAAGACAAGGTATATGATGAACCTGATGAGACACATATGTTCCACTTGTTGCAGTAATATGAGTCGTATCAATCCAGGGCAGTCAGACTCGGGTCTTGGAAGCCATTCCGAACAGGAGATAATCTTGAAGATTTATGCTTGTCATGACAGCCATTGCTCCTTGACTGCTTGCTTTGCTCTGTAGTCTGTTCTTTGTCATGATTGTGTATCAAAGCCATGTTGAATGAGCACTGAAAATAGAACCTGGGATGCTGTTTCATTATAGCTTTGCGAAATTACAATGAGAGTAGGTATCCAACATCAGTTCAGAATGTCTGATGTTTGGGATGCTTTCAAGGTATGTCTTCTTTGTCGAATTTGTGCTAGGAGACATATTCAAAGAATGTCTCCAGAGATTCAAGCATTGTAGGGTACAAGCATGATTTCTTTGAGATGATACCTTAGGACTGTGGTAGATATAGCACTTCAGATGATGCAAACAATGAATAAATAACTGGTCATAGTCTTTGTCTCAGATAAACACAGCATTCGTGACATTTCTGTAGAGACTAAGTCTGAAACAAGAACATTCAGTTAAACAATGGACCTTTCTCTTTTGCACTGCTTTCATTCACTTTTGTCAAATAATGATGCTACTCTTCTCTTTTATGCATTGGTTCTTATTCAGCATTATGAAAGTCTCAAAGCAGCAGAGGAAAACATGATAAAAGATAGTTCAGATATATCAGTCAACAAAGACAATTCGCAGGATCTGGGTCGACAATCACAGAATTAGATTCCTATGACATAGGTCGCTTCGAGCCAAGCATCATCTCTGTCTTTGATCTGATATGCCGGCTTGCGTCTCTAGAAAGGAGCCGTGCCGAGTGCGGCATGAGTGACACCATGTATACAGCTAGGTATCTCGGTAGGCGCTATATTATACTATTAAAACACATTGTACCTACTGATTATGAGAGAGAAAGCGCTCTTTGGCCACCCAGGGAAATGTGTCGATCGAACAAAGACCTGCAGCAGGTTCTGGCCAGAGAGCCCAACGACATCCCGGCCCTTTGAAGTCTAGATTCCATGTCAATTCGGGCTCTGAGGGGCCATCCAGATGAACTTGTCGAACCTGAAGCAGTGATATTACAGACACGGGAAGTCGCACGCAAATGAAACAGTAGAATTATAGAATATGGCCCTGTGGCAAGGAAAAGACGCATCAGCGTCCCCACATTATCATGATAAGGTTAATACATTTGAACTTTTTTGATGAATCCTTCTATTTGCATCTTTAGCATCATGGTTAAGGTACAACTATGGAGTAATGTGGTCCCATTCCATCAAGCTGTGCCTATGAATTGCTGTATATTCATTGGGCCGGCTGCCAACTGCATCCCGAGTCACCATCATTCCACAGTGTGTAATAACCCTCGAGCTTCAAGTCAGTATGAAGGAACATCTTCTACTAAAGCCGTGACACATGGAGCCGAAAGGTACATCGGTGGATGCCGCTCCTACGAGTTGATTGACAGTCCAGACCCGATAATTTCTTGAACTAGACCCAGCACCCTTTTCTTTCCGGACTCCAGAGCTCATGAACCGGTTCCTATCATGGCCCAAAGACTTCGTCCCGCTTGTTCGCCACATCCATATCATGGTCAGGTCGATACGATGACTTTGTTCGCATGTGTTGACCCTCGGCCATGAGCCTGGCTGCCTGGGTCTAAAACTCATAATGGAGTGATTTCGTGTGTTTCCCCACATCTCTGAGATTCACGTTTCAGCTTGTCAGATATGGAGCCAACTACGATCCAGATACCAAGCCTAGACCCCTCGTCAGCAAACGCCGAACAGTAAGGGCTCATGCCCAACCGTCCCAACTTCACCTTTCCCCGCTAGCATCTGATCGCCTTGACTGGGTTGGTTCGGTCTGGTTGGTACTGAGATTTGGGAACGCTGAATCACAGTACAACCATGCAAATCGCTGAGTGGAGAAGGTATCGTAGATGAGGATCGCTGGGCAGAGCGTAGGCTCAAAGACTCTAGCTGCCACAGCACAGTTGAAGTCGATGAGCAGTGTTTCGAACGAGTCAATTGTCGATGTAGGTTGTCATTTTCATTATCAAGTGACTGAATTCAACGTCTATGCATTGACGCAAACCTAGCTTAAAGTATGACTGAGCTCTGAGGTCAGGGTAATAATAAAGTCTAACATCTATCTATGATGAAGGGAGGTCAGAGGTCAATTGACCCATTATCGAGAAGAGAACCGAAATAAGATATTGATCTACGGCGTAACAACAAAACTAGGTAGGTAGCTCTTTCTCAATAATAATATAATCCTGGGCTCCTGACTGTTTCATGCTTGGTAGTCAGCAAAACATACAGCAGTTAAGTGCATTGCATTGCTATCATGAACATGCAAAGCACCAGATGGAAAGACTAAGCTCTAGTCGATGACTCCAACCATGGATTTCTATCTTCATTTTAATCTATCTTTGGAAGGTGACAGCTGGGTTCTTTTCCCAGTACAAAGCAACACCCAACCACGGCCACCACAAATCCACAGTAATCAGCACTTCCGACTCCACTACAGCCAACCAGAAGCCAATCCAAGATCCACCCTGGGCGTTTGGCCACCAAACGGTCGATAGTAACTTGATTGTCGTTGTCGAATAATAAGGTAAGGTACGTATACTCCGTAGACTATCCTGTACTGTAGATACAGGTAAGGTACAGAGTAATGTCGACTTTTCCGCGGTTTTCTACCACAGCCACTGAGGGCCACACTTTGGCTTTGCCACTGGATGACTTGTCTTGCTGCCCATATCAGATACACAAGGTACTCTGCAGTACTGTGTAATAGTACATAATCACTATTGGAGAATCATTATTGATCTTGATTATGGCATATCTATAGAGTATGATGAGTAATTCTTGACTATCTCTGTTATCAAGCGTCTTCTCAAGGATTCCTCGCTTATTCTTAGCCGCAATGCTCCACAGGACCACAGCAAACTGCATAGATAGATAGTCAGGATCCGACAGTCGCTGACTCGCTTAGGTAGCTTAGATCGTCCTTCAGATTCGTCATAAGAAATTTGTGATACATAAATTTGAATCGGCAAACGAGATACATGGACGACTACCTGATTCCCATCCTTTTAACCTGATCCCTCGGTAGCGAAATGAAGGGAAATGAAGAAGTGCTTCTGCTTGATGTCAGTGTCACGGACAATTCAATTAAATTAATTACCTTGCCTCGAACCATGGCGTGGAGTGGGGTAAACGCCTGAGCCTGTCGGACATTTTCTTTGTGACGATCATTGCGTAAGGTACTTACCAGGAATAAATAGCCCGTACGGAGTAGCGTCGAGGCGCCCCCACCCGTTCAGCGAATGGCGTTGGCTACCCTACCTACAGGCTAACAGCTGCCCTCCTCGACCGTTTGAAACTCTCAGCTTCACTACAGTAAGGTATCATAAGTACAGCTCAACGTCCGAGGACAGAAGCAGTCTCAGCTGTTCATTGGCATTTGAGCATCGATATCCAATTCAACAATGACTGCTCTGATCAATTCAGTTACTGAAAGTTTTCTCTCCTGACTGTAGAATGTACTCAGTCCAAGGCTACTGGCTGAGAGAATTCTAATGGGTACATTTTGGTTCTCATTTCAAAAGATCCATCTATCCTGAATTGTCAACGCCAATGGCCTGCCACAGACGTCACTATCACTATTTCTATGATTGATGAATGGCACACTGTTGATCTAACATTCTATCTACACAATACACATTTCCCTATGGTATAAAGGTACATGATCGACCTTACAACCACGCAATGTGGGCTCTGAGCCTCTGAGATTGGGGCGGGGCAGCCCCGGACTTACCTGGCGTCCTGACGACGCAGGATGAAAAGTTGGGCTAGTTGGTCAGGATCGAGGCTTTCATATTCATCGAATTTCATCGAGGTTCGTGTTGCACTCGGGATCTGCAGAGTGCAGAGACCAGAGAGGAACGGTTTGGCATTGATTCAGTAATATTATTTCACTCTTCAAAAAGAATACACAATTGCACATATTATCATCACGAAGTACAGCCGATTAACCTTCATTGCATCCTACCCTCAGACTCAGCCCTTTCACTACTGATCTATACCGAGATCATCAGAAAGTTCTACTTATTGAGGTAGGAGAAACACCTGTTCTCGACCCGGCTGAACATGTGTAGGTAGGTAGATTCGTGTTGCAGCCTACCGCCACTTGACGTCCTGACCCAAATCAAGCCGTGCCATAATTTCTGATACATACATCTCGAGATATGGCTGAGCAACAGTAACTGATAGAACCAGCTCTAAATACCTGATCTGTTTCTTGTTCAACTTGGAAGAGCTTTGACTGTCATTAACCGTACGTGTCCGAGGTACGGAGTAGTACTTGTCAACTCGGCCGGACGGGCAACGACCAAATGCAAATATCATCTCAGTCAGGTCCATTGTCGATTGGAGTCCGCGATAGATAATCCATTCTCACAGCTTGGCAACTTGGCTTCCATTCAAGCCTCACACTTTCCGAAAGTAGACCAGCGGCATCTCTCATGCCACTGAGTAATGCAATGCCTGTTTGCTTCAGCCTTCAGGACATGAAGGGACCAACCCCGAGCTTCTGGAAGGGTTGATTGGCTGGCTTGATACTATGTGGCCTCCACCGCCTTAGTCGGAACAATAAATTAAGGCAAGCCACCGTTGGCCCCACTGGTCCCTAGGTAATCTTGCAGATGGCGGGAAACCCCTGTCGTTCGAAGAGAGGAGATAGCTCTCAGAAAGTTCAGCAATCAGTATGACCATAATTTTGACGACCCTTTCCTGTGCTTTGCACAAGTTCAGAGAGCTGTGGAACCCTCAGTAATATGATGTTAAAAGTGCACTGATAGTCTGATACATGATAT